TATACAATTAGCACTAAATTCTAATAAGAATTTTTTTTCATTAGCGAAGTTATTAAAAGAGTTATTTCCTAATGACTTCAACAATATGGCGGAATTCCTATCAAGCACTGGCCAATAATTAAATCGCAGACACCGAAAACATCATGAGACAAAGAGACCGGATTAATTTTAGCTTCTGGCTACCTAATTGTAAACCATGATTGGGGCCGTAATAAATCAACCGAACGATCAAATAATGGAGTATGCAGAAAGTAAATGAGACGGATTGCAAATAAAAAATATGCAGTCGGGGGGAAATGAGTCAGCCGTGGCAGACAGGAAAGCTGCCCCAGTGTGAGTACGCGTGGGTACAAACACACATGTATGCGTGACAAGCACATTCAAATGAAATTGGCACTATTGTTTATATTAAAAATTAAAAAAAAAACTGTTAGGGGAAAAGACAAGCTATCAGGTGGTTCACCTAATAAGCCCATGGAAATATACAAAACTAGTGGCCGCACTGCGAAACTTTAAGAGTGGTCTAGTGACTCAAAAGACTAAACTGTGTTGCAGGTGTCCATGGGCGGAGGTAATCACTTACCATCACGTGAGCCTCCTGTTCTTTTGCCGCTTTTTTCACATGAAAAAACTCCAAAGCACAACTTTAATTCACGCCGGTCTTTCGCGAGGCGTGACACTTTCTCGGGTGTTCGTGTAACGCTGTTGCGGGGTTATAAAGTAAAATTTAAATTCTCAAGAGCCACGACACTCGGTGAGTGAGTTTTTTTTTTGGGCTGGATGAGCCACTGTTGGCCTTAGGAGCCCTCACAGTTCCGACGGGCTTGAGGTGGCCTGACGCACTGGGCACCTAGCCTGAAACCCCGGCGTATTATTACATATATATGTGTGTTCATTTATTGTCGCGATGGTAACGACACGCTGTATATATAGACTGTTACTCTTCTTTTTATCACTTTCAAATAAATGATCAACCTACCACTAAGATTCAGATCCATACATCCGGTACGGGCCTGAATAATTTTTCCAACCCTCCACCGTTCAGTGCACAGACGTACGTGTTACAACCGCCTTTACCTGGTTGTCAAGTTGGCCACCGGATTGAATACAGGGTGCTACAGTACCCACAGCTTAAAAAACTATACTGTTATATTATTAGTATTCGATAACGATTCGCGAGCGCGTTCCGCTCGACAGGCTCGAGCCTTAAGGGCCTCGCGAGGGGCCGATACTGTAAACGGACCTTCGGACCGTTTCGACCCACCAGGCAAAGGGGCCAACAACAAGTATGTTGTGTCATTGGCTATCAGTGGTCAGTTGTTACGAGCGTCTCAAAGGTATTGATCTAAAACAGCCCGTAGAAATGAATCGGTTTTAATTTCTTTTCTACCGACTACAAAAAAAGAGAGCCCGGACACTGAGCTATCACGCTCGCCTTAATTCAATGTATACTCGAGCAACCAGTTCGATCCCCGGTGCCGGCACCAATGGAGTTTTTAACTTTAAGTGCTGAATTATCACGTGCTCCGCGGTGAAGGAAAACATCGTGAGGAAACCTGCATATTTTCGAAATAATAACAAAAAAAAAAATATTTTTCGAAGATATGTGAAGTCCGCCAATCCGCAGTGGGGCCGCGTGGTGGACTATGCCCTGATACCCTCTGTATAGAGGAGGCCTTTGCCCAGCAGTGGGACATGTATAGGCTGTTACTTTACTTTACTTACAAATTATGAACGCGCAAGCGTCTATTTGAATAAATATATTTTTGATTTTGATTTTTGAATTATAAAATGAATACAGAGCGAGATATTTGAATTCGGTTTTGTTTTTCTTTAATAAATAATGGACTTATTCTTATTTTTTATAAATTATTACCAAATAAAACAGTCGCTACACACTTGAAATGAACAATTTAAAATATTTTTTCGTAAACGAATGTTCGCAGAATGAATTATAAATAAATTAAAATCAACAGAGAGTAATTCGGTTCCTGGAGTAATTTATACATTAATACATTACCTACTGCTACCATTCTTAATTGATATTGCGACAGTAAAATCAATCTGAAATTCATAATGTAGAGTTATACACATCTAGCGTTCGTTAATTAATATGTTAGCTCCTCCAGGAAAGTACCGCGTCTACACGGAAGACAGAATATACTTTAACTTTTCTTCTGGCGATGGAGTTATCCAGGGCTCACTAATTTAAAGTTTGGTAACGCATACGGAACCACGCGCGTGTTTTGACATCGCTTACAACAAGAGCCGTATATTTTGCACCCTTGTTTTCTTTCTAGTTAATATGCACCAGTAATGATTCTAAATTTACAAAGTATATATGGTATACTTTTGCCGTTTAGTATTATGAATTTTTACGTAAGATGATGACTGGCGATAGGGCGGAACACCAGATTTCAAGGGGTTACCGCCGCAAATGGACATCTTCACCAGGAATCGGGTACCAGATAACTGTCCAATTTTTAGAGTGAGCCTAGATACAGAAGGTTTGACTCTTCCACTTCACGATAGACTTCTGTGAGACTATTGTAGTACCTCTACGCACCATATACGAGTAACAGTCTGCTGTTACTCTTGTATGGAGCGTCGAGGTAAGCCATTATATCCTACACCGGTCATTTTATTTTCCATCTGTAGAATGCCTTCACATCTATTATTGCCCGATGCTCCGGATAGTTAGTCGATATTTAGTCGATCCATATACCATCAGTAAAGTCAACGCACCAGCGAAACTCGAGGTTTTATACGATGTAAAGAACGTTATATAATAACTTATAATGTGCAAGTAATAATAAACACAATGATATGTAATAACATACAACTAAATTGCAGATTTCTAGTGATGACTGTGTTACTTTATGAATAACTTTCAAATCGAAAAGTCGATTTCTTAAATCGCGTAAGCAAAGCAATGATAATTTTGTATTGTCATTATTACAATACTATTAAATACTTTCTGTAAAATATACCAATACGGCTATAAACCAGCTATAAACGTCTCATCGAAAAAATTATTGTAATGCCAACGATTGTGGTTAGATGGCGCTGTTAACAATAATAAAAAGAAGTTAACCGTACTGCTAACTTTATTTTATTGAAAATCCTGGGTAATACTTGAAAGTAGCGATGATTATATATTTATGCTACTATATTTTTGCATACGATTATACGTTTTGAGAAAGCTTTAAGTAATAAATATAACTCGACTGAGTCCATTCTGTTCACTTCATAATCTATAATAAAAAGTATTAAACTTATTTTAAACTAAATGCCAGCCTTGTCAACTTTTACTCACAAGTAAAACAATGGTCACAATAAATTACGGTTTCATATAAACGAGGAGTAGGTCTGATACAATGTTAAATTTTCCCACAGATATCAAGTTTATTGTAAGTAGCTTACTTACTTTGCAATGACGTCAATCAGCCTACAAGGATGTTTTATATATTTTTTGATTGCTTAACAAAAGTGTAACCTGTGACTAAATATAACTTGAATAGAAAAATGTTTTTTTTCTTTTATAATGAAAGGTTGTCTAAAAATCACTTTAATTGTATTACGCATTTTAAATCCTCAATAGGTCCGCAGTACGGGACACTGTGTGTGTGAGAAATAGGGAGTGCTAACTTCGTGTCGTGTTTTCAAAACTTTTGAAGTGAATTGGACAAGCGTTTTTTAACGCATAATTCGTCACACGAAAGAGAAGAAACATATAACGAAGGGAGAACGAGGAAGAGAGCTATATAATAATTTACATCTATATACGTCGTTTAGACTAGAAATTTCACTTCAAACTCCAGCACGGCGCTGCACGGGTGCTTTGTTTTATTTTAATATTTTTGATGGCAACTAATTGGTGGGTCTCCTGATGATTCATAAGGACAGTTGTTATTTTATGGAGAAAAGGGGCAAATGAGCAGTCACATTTTATCGTGCTTTTTATTTGCGACGTCAGATGGCGCTAGTTACACTCCTTTATTAAACGGTAAACCGAGTGTAATCATGTGCACACCGTTTACCGTTATAACAAAGAATCTAAACAGATTGCCAATTCAACAAGTCGTATTGAAAACTGTCTCCTACATTTATTTCTCCATTTACGCTTCCTTGCAAAAACCTTAAATTGATGTTAAAAAGCGCATTTAACGCCAATTGCCAGATCGGGCTCTTCTAGTCAACCTGTATGTGAATAGTAATTTAAATAAGTAAAATTAACACATACCTTAAACGCACGCGTCCTTTTAATGTTAAATAACCAAAACTTCAATATCAAATTATTTCTTTAACTATTATCGTTACTGTGAGTCTTTTAAATTTAATTTCTAGCAATAATTTAGACAAATAATTGAAGAGAGATAAAGTATTTTTCGAAACGCCACCGTACGACGTCAAAAGACCGCATTTGATAAATATAGTGGTTAATCCCAAAACATGACACTTCCTACATCGCATTGGTTTTCTGAAACTGTGATGCCCTTCCCTGTATTCTTGCAACGGCGATGATCTACCTCTGGCCAAAAGGACAAATTTGTCTTCTTCTTTACAACGCGTGGTATCAAATGGTAAATGTTGATACCTTGATGTCCTAAAAAAGCGTGGCACTACCACAGTGAACTTTGGTAAATGTTGGTACTGCGCGTTGTAAGTTTTGAACTGAGGAGAGCAGCGAATGACGAGGCCGTCATCCTTCCTGTAGTCTTGAAATAGCATAGTAGTGGTTGATAAATGTTGCGACCACACCTAGAAGAGAGACTTACGGCCGGTTTCTGAAACACTGATCATCGTAGATGTCAACTAATCAGCCGTCAAATGGCTTTTCAAATTTCATTTTAGTTGCCAATAGGACGGTTAAACTCTCTGAATTGACCAGGATGATCTTCTAATGATCAGAACGATCAATCCAAAGAGTTTAACCATCCTTTTGGCAACTAAAATGTGTCACAGAAACCGGGCGTTAGGATATTATCGGCTGAACTTACCCTGTGCGATGCGGCCGCCTGCGCGACACCTAGGGCCGGGCGTTCGTCTCCCGACTCATCGCCAGACCTTTCTCCCGTGAAAACGGAGTCATGGGACACCGAGAGGCCGCTGCCGTACGCGCCCTCCCTGCCGACAAGTAGCTCGCTTTATCTTAACGGTCTTAATTTTAAAGTTTTTCATAGTGCAAATCTCTGCACTTAAGATTGAACAGTAAAACATGTAGAAAAAGTAAGGAAAGACTCGCCTGAAAGTTTATAAAAAGCAACGGCGACATCTCTCGTACGAATTATCGTTGTAAAACGATATTCGAAATTGTTTGTATGCTGGAAAGGATATAACGATAGATGCGCCGAGCATTGCTTCAAATGCTAAATAACAATGTAGAAAGAAGGCGTTAAGATTTTCGACGCTATGCCTATCAGCCGTTTAGCTCAGTGGCTAGAGCGTCAGGCCGCGAATGCCGAAGACGTGGGTTCGATTCCCACAGCGGCGACAATCTTTTCTTACTTTTTCTACATGTTTTAATGTTCAATCTTAACAGTCTAGTAAAGTAAAAGCCTGTTTCGGGACATGTTATCTAATCCATTACACAAGGTTATCTAATCCCAAACTAAGCAAGGCTTGTACTATGGATACTAGGTAACTGATAAACATATTTAAACATACTTTTCTTTAGTAAAATCAATCACCTAATATTTTTCCTGTAGTGGGGATCGAACCCACGCCCTCTGGCGCAGGAGACGGTCCAATATCCAGTACGCTAATCGGGTCGTCATATGTATATGTGTGTATATGTAATATCTCTTCCACAGCTGGATAAAGGGATCCTATGTACATAACAGTACCCTTAAAAATAACAAGCCCTTATCCTATCCTGACAGAGGTCGCTTGTGACAATTTTTAAGCTGTTAAAAAATATCCTCAACCCTTAACCATGATGATGAAGGGTGAATGAAGATGCAGATGCTGACGTCTTTGGCGCTGTACACCGAATTCATCAAGCCACTAAATCTCAGATTCGAAACTTATTTTCTTTCGCAGTGCCGACTTGCCAGCAAATGACTTGGCTTAGTTGCTATGAGGTAGGACCACACAACAGCCTTTGCCGTTGCGCGGATGGGCAGGTACGTCCGTAAGTACCATGACCTAATATAAGACGGGCATGGAGTGGAATTGTCATACTTCTGCTTCTGGAATCGTTATTCGTCTGCTGAGTGAGGTAGCCGGGGCCCACTTTAACAAAAGGCAACGCATCTGCATACCTACGGGTGTTGTAACTGTAAACGGGCGGCGATTATCACTAAGCATCAGGCAAAACACCAGCTCGTTTGCCACGTTCTCACATAAAAAAGCTACTGGCTTATTTCTATTGTTTTCTTAAAGGGTGACTTCTTGATAATGTTTGGCTCGGGCATAAGATAAGAATTATTTTTTATTTAAGATTTTAGAAATACAATGTGAACAGTTTATTTGCGTCTTTAAGAAAGACGCTATAACTCTCGATTGATTACGGAAAAAAGCTTGATATACGACAAATAAGTTTTAATGAACATTAATTAATTGCACTTGAAGGATTTTATTTAAAAAAAGTAACAGTTAGGAACAATTGCTGACAGCCCTTTAACGTTCTTATAAAATAAGATCACAGGAATGGTACGCGATAAATTGGTCTACACGTCAATCGGTTCATATTTAATTAACGTTTAAGTCGCAATATCGATTCTAAGATAGGAATTTTACGAAATATCTGTTTGTATACCGTTGAACTCTTAATAATGTTTGTATATTTTGTATAGCATATTGACTTTATCAACAATTATCTTTCCAGACACGAGTAAAACTTCGGTTGAAATTATTTTTAATTGGTATAACATAACTTCTCTATAACTATAACTGCGAGTACTATACAGATTCTACACAAAAACAACATTCACAAAAGATATACCATGTTAAGAAAAAAAAAATACATAATGCAGATTTCCTACCTTTCAAAATTTTATAGGTTAACTTTTAGACAGTTCCCCCGAAAGGAGAATTTTACGTAAATGCGTTCAGAAAGCGATAAATTCAGACCAAAGCGTGTGTTCGGTGTATTCATGAACGCTATTTTACATCGACGATGTTACGTTGTTATGTATCGATGTTGTTGAGTACAGTCGTCTAGACACGTGCGGTGCGGCCGACTCATCATTCTAGCCGCGCCAAAGTGCAGTCGCGCACAAAAGCGCTTAAGGGATATGCTTGAGGGACGCTCTTTATCGCCGTTGTATGGCATTGTTTGCGCTCTTTCGACAACTCGATTTAAAGGTTCAGCTTTTATTGTATAGAAAGCGGATGCTGGCTTGCACTTCAGAATTTTACTGTGCGTGTGGATAGACGCGTTTTTTTTTTTAATTTGTCTCTCTATTAGTGATGTTTTTTTGTAAGGAGGTTATACGATATACTTTGTGGCCTGTGTACATTTTTAATGACATGTTTTATTTTACATGTGTATTTACATGTTTATTTTATTGTGTACAATAATATGAAGCCACGATACTCGACGCCCTGCGTTGAGAAGCTTGCTATCATTACTCTGTCACCTCACTGTCACTAAGACGACAGAATAATTCTGTACCTACCTCAGAGGCTTACAATAGTAATTCCACATTTTTCAAAATTATTTTTGCTACACATTAAAATCGCAAGAACAAATTCTACAGAACAGTATAAAGCATAACGACCCACGACTCCTAATTAATAAAATATGTACTCTTACATGACATCATAGTCCAAAATATAGTCAAGGAATAACTGACGCATTTTTGCCTCTCGTGAAAGTGTTTTGTCACATCTGCTGTTTGCGTCGTAGGTACAGAATTAAATCAAAGAGTTATACTTTGATAGTAGAACGTGTTAAGTTTTTCTGTGGTAGGGCCACGCAACAGTGTTCACTGTTGCACGAATGGGCAGGTCCGTCCGGGTAAGTACCACGGCCTCACAGAAGACCGGCGTAAAGTGGAAGTATAATACTTTCGCGTATCGTCTGATGAGTGAGGTGACCGGAGCCCAATCTTCAAAAGGTTGTCAACGCATCTGCAAGCCCTCGGGTGTAGCAGATGCCCATGGGCGGCGGAATTCACTTAACATCACGTGAACCGCCTGCTCGCTCGACAACTTTTTAAATTAAAAAAACAGGGTAATTAAAGCAGAGAGGATAGAGTTATGCTTTGACAGTGGACTTGGAGGTGTACTGACTTTCTCCTGGCGTGGCGCTCCGCGTCCAGCAGCTCGCTGGTGGAACTGCTCTTGGGATCGGGGGAGCTCTCGGTGCGGGCGCCGCTGCCCCGCCGCCGGAACATCCGCCGCAGACCGCGCAGGAACCGCCCCGTGCGACCCTCGCCTGGAAGTGACCGGGTCGCGTCAGCCGAATGGGTCAGTCGAAAACAAAAGGGTTTTATGGTGCCACTTCTCCTCGACATGCAGATGTGAATGCAAAGTGTAGCAAATGTCAATGGGCGGCGGTTATTAGTTAGCATCAGGAGTACCGCCAGCTGGCTAGTCATTTTTTTATATAAAAAAAGAATGGGTGCGATTTACGTGTGTAGCCCGTATTAGCTAGTATTTCATTTGGCTATTACCATTAATAAATTACTCCATATATAATTAAAACTTTAATTATATTATTATTGTGATATAAGAACTATATTTAAGGCAACTTAGGGATTTGTTTGGAGGTGTATGTTTTCAAAATGAGGGGAAGCTCGGGTATAGCGGTGAGTTAAAGGTCGATCGGGGATGTCTGTATTATAGTGCAATTACATAATGCGATAAGCGTAATTAGGGACCTCTCTAGTTCTCACTGGTACACACCTGTACAGGGGTGAGTTGATGTTGAGATTTGTATTGCAGTAGGCACATCTTGGTGTACCAGATACTGCGTACCATAGACTGGGGGAGATGTCTACTTGCTGAGGGGCAAGTGGTAATCATGCTAGTCCAGGGTAATCATAAGTCCGGAAAAAGTGGGAGAGTTGTGTTTCTCTTTATATTGGACACATGGACCAACTCCCGGACCCGAAACAATTATACACAGGTATTTTATGTGTCCCGTTTGGGACTCGACCCCACGAGCCTCGAAGGCGACACCTCGGCATCAGCGCCGCGGTGTCGTCCAGTTGCGAAGTGCACTCCAGGGATTGCATACCATGGCCGGAATCGTGCGGCGGCCGGTAGGGCGGCTCGAGCGAGCCCTCTCGCACGCACGACATAAGCCCCGCCCCGCCGCCCGACATCCGCCCGCCCTGGAACACGGAAACGCGAAGTCAGACAAGGGAACAAATAATAATAAATAAATAAATTCATAGGACACATTTCCGCACAACTTTCTCTAGTCCCAAACTAAGCAACGCTTGTACTACGGGTTCTAGATAACTGATCCATCACACAATGTTTTTCCATAAGTGGGGATCGAACCCACACCCTCTGCAAGAGGCAGGTTCACTACCCACGGTTCCACCCCTTCCGGTTACGCCATGTTTGTGCTACGTTTCGCCTGCTTATTCTCAAACAAACGACGGGGCAGGAACGCTCTCGATTGGCAGCCATAATAATAGTCGAAGTCAATGAATGCTGCATTATAAGGCATTTTCGACATTTGCATAATGTAAGACGACCAACTGGACAGAATGACAAGCACTACAAGCAGTGGCTCTGGATCGTGGAAGTTACAGACTTGACTTGAGACGGGAGGCCCATGTCCAGCAGGGGACTCAACGGGCCCATATGCTTATGAAACGTATTGTATAAGGTCGAAGTTAGATGCATTTGTCTAGGCCGTTCCTAGATAATGACGAACATTGAGCGTGTTTGCATCACTCGGCCGATCACGAGGGAGAGGGAGCGACCCCCGTCGGCCCCTCTCCCTCGCGCGTGACCCCGTCGCAGCATCCGTATCGATCGGGCGCGCGACCCTGACCTTCGGTGCGGATAAGCGGGCTCCGACCTTGTGGAGTGAGGTCAAAGGTGTCCCGTTACACGCCAGGATGCACAGAGTAACCGGTCGGGAACACCGCAGTCGAAACGCACAGTTGGGTTCGAGTCTTTGTCGTGTCGACGCGATCTCGGCGCTATTTATGCGGTTATGTCAACTGCATTCATTCTTATGTATATGTAAATGTTGGTTAATAATGTAGTTCGTTATAAATGCGACACAATCAAGTTATACAGAATTAAAATATGTCTTCAGTTTAATTACACTTTAACCGGCCAAAGAGATGGTTATTATTAATGAAAGCATATATACATTGGTCAGCTCGTTGACCGATTAAATAAGAGTCACGATCCTCAGCAGTGTGGAAATGACTAAGAAGAAAAAGAAGAATATACATTGGCCTTTGAAAATGTTGCGTTCGATTAAACAAATAAGTCATTTTATAGCGTATGACTAATCACGTTTCCAGATCTCAAATTCGAATCGACTACCGCTCGCTGCTACTCGTATGTGCAAAAAAAATAGACCAAAATCTTCAAAAATGTAATATTTCAATAACGCACGTGACGTTAAAAAATAAACAAGGAAGCAACAATTTTTTGACTTAATCATTTTCCTGATAGCCTGAGGCATACCTTTTTTGAAAACTTTGTATGCCTCTCCAGAATTTTTCAAAACGGTACGAAGTATATTTTTTTTAGTTTTGTTTCATTTCATTACCCGTAGTATATTTTTAGTATTTGTTGTTATAGCGGCTACAGAAATACATCTACAAAAAAATATAACTGTTCAACTATCACGGTTCATGAGATACAGCCAGGTGACAGATACAGATAGATAGACAGACAGACAGGCAGATAGCGGCGTCTTATTTATAAGGTCCCGTTTTACCCTTTGGGTACGGAACCTCCAAAAAATTTCACACACGATAAGTTAGTTTGACACACACATTAAATGAACACGATAAGTTAGTCACCAACACGAAATTAACATTATGAACTTATTCGATAAATCTCCTTTTAGTAATGTGTGAAACATTAATAATGTCAAAACCTGAGGGTTTGACAAGTTACTGAGATTAATGTAGTAAATAATGAAGATTTATCGACTTAAATTGACGGTGTTAATTTCTTGTGTCATTTTATTTTCTTCCTCCAAATAAGTATAATCTATACTATAATATAAAAAACAAGCCAAGTGCGAGTCGAACTAGCGCACGAAGGGGTCCGTACCATTATCTATGAAAATGGCAAAAAAATTATGTCAGTTGTATGGGAGCCCGAATTAAACATTTTTTTTATTCTGTTTTTTAGTATTGTTAAAGCGGCAAAAAAAATATATGACCTGCTAAAATTTCAACTATCTAACTATCACGGTTTATGAGATACAGCCTGGTAATAGACGAGACAGACAGTGGAGTCTTAGTAATGGGGTCCAGTTCTACCCTTGGGTACGAAACCCTAAAAATATACACGAAAGAAACTATATGTTATAATCACTACACATACTCTAGGAATCGGCTATGAACACCTAAATTGTAACTGAGCGAAGACAGTGTATTAGTTTGTAGAATTAAGTACCAACTCGCATGATGCGTTCGTTACTACGAAATAAATCCTTATAAGAAGCCCTAATGTGCCAGACAGATTATTCCCTCAAACACGTATAAACACGCATATGGAATAGACAATAGGGGTCGAATAAAACGGCAGACCACAATGTTGACATTTCGAAGGCTACGCAACTCGTGAATACGCTAAAAAGATTACGCGGCTTTATGTAATGCGATAAAAACAATGGCATAGTTAAAAGCGTGCAGTAGTTTGCTACAGGTATTAGATTCGATTCCTGACCGATGTTAAAGATACATTAACTCAACTCACTATTAGGGCAGACGCTTTAAGCTCAATGTACTCGAGCAACATGAGTTCAAATACCACAGCCGGCATCGAACAATTGTATTCGAGTATTTATTTTATTATTCGAGTATATCGAATATTTTATTTTAACTTCACAATTAGGAAAAATATATATCTAAACATTCAAATAATCGAAGGATCTCGTGATGCATAACTCCGTGTGAATAAGAGGACCTTTGCCCAGCGGCGGGACGTATCATCTATATTGTCCATTTAAAGTAAAAGTAAAGTAACAGCCTATGCTTGTCCCTGCTGGGCAAAGGTCTCCTCTATACAGAAGGTTTCAGGGCATAGTTCAACCACGCGGCTCCACGGCGATTTGGCGGACTAGGTCTATGTCTTTGAAATATTTTTTTTGTTATTATTTCGAAAATTTGGAGGTTTCCTAACGATGTTTTCCTTCACCGCAGAGCACGTGATAAGTCAGCACTTAAAATCAACAATTTCATTGGTGCCGGCACCGGGGATCGAACTCAGGTTGCTCGAGCGTATTGAATTAAATGCAAGCGATCATTCACCAGCACGAATGAAGACTTCTTATAAGTATTCATTTACGAAGCACAACCACATAATATAATTAGGTACTCTAAACAATCTACTTGTTTCATTTATTTCCTCCTTTATGCAAAAATCAAAATACACATGTTAATATGAATCAGAACAATCAGATGTGTACACGATGTCAACCGAGCGAAATGACCGAGCTCCGACGACTATAATCGCCTTACTTGTGACACACGTCACGACTCCATGACGAACTGATGACAAGCATCGACTGACATATGACGAAGGTATATATACATCAGAACAACCGAGCGAAATGACGGAGGTCCGACGACTAAAATTGCCTTACTTGTGACACACGTCACGACTCAATGACCAACTGATGACAAGCATCGACTGACATATGACGAAGGTATATATAAATCAGAACAACCGAGCGAAATGCCGGAGGTCCGACGACTAAAATTGCCTTACTTGTGACACACGTCACGACTCAATGACCAACTGATGACAAGCATCGACTGACATATGACGAAGGTATATATACATCAGAACAACCGAGCGAAATGACCGAGGTCCGACGACTATAATCGCCTTACTTGTGACACACGTCACGACTCAATGACCAACTGAACACAATCATCGAGTGACGTATTACGTGACACCTTTATGGACCCGCTTGCGTAATTGGCACCCGATAAATTAGAGATGCAACGTGTAATGAATACAATGAGCTCTCAACGCGTTCGAGTTCCGATTGTTCGCATTGCGTGGAAACTGGGCCTATTGGGCTTCTACGGGCAATCTTCCTAGGGTCATGTGTGTAATTGTGCACGATCGCATCTCGATGTCAATGCGACCCTAGTTGTACGGGTAGTGGGTTCGATTTTAGTTAGACGTGCTCATAAAATCCTCCAATCTAGAAGATTTATGTGGTTATGTGGAATGGGTCGAAAAGGCTGATTTAACACTGTTGGTGTTTTCTTTTTGCCTATATGTAGCGGTAGTGCAACTAGGCGTATAAGATACCATACTTAAAATACGAGGAGTATTTGTAGTATAGTATCTTGCTTGTAGATAACATCTAAATATTTAATTTAATTAGTCCTCGATTGTACAGAGGTCTTTAGAGTAACGCGGCGTAGCAACTTTCAAATAGTCATTTTTGAAACAAATCCTTTGGACAGATGACTCTACATATTTTTTTTACTTACTAATACTTTGTGCATAGCCTTGTACAAAGACAGGCTTAATGCCAAGGGAGTGCTTACAATACAGTTGGTGTCTCTTATGCCCGGTTTATGTTATGATCAGAATAATCAATTCAAAGAGTTTGGCCATCCTTTTGGCCACTCAAGTAACATTCGAAAAGCCATTTGACAGCTGATTAGCTAAAGCTATGATTAGATAAAGCTAACAACTCCTGGTTACATCATCTCTATGTAGAGTCGATTACTATAACGCTGGAGCCGTGAAATTTATGGCAAAATTGGTGGAACTTGGCGAAACATTGCGAGCCGTGTTTTTGGATTCGATCCCTATTCGTGAGAAAATTTGTATCAAAAATTTTTCATGTACATGAAACCTGCGACAGAACGGGTTTCTTAATGCGGAAATAAAACAACGACCTTACTACTGGTTACCTTACTAAAAAGTCAGTTAATATACAACACAATCTAACATGATTTTCTAGACTATTATTCGTTGTAGATTACTATGGCTAAAGCCGTTATAGCTCAGTATCCGGGTACTCTAATTATTATAGTATACTTGAACAATCTGATTTCGAAACCTGAATTTTCGAAACCTAAAACTGCAACCTTAAATGCTGAATTATCAAGTGCTCAGCTGTGTTATGTTTAAGTAATTATTTTTTATAGACGTCGAA